CGAAGATCTGCGCTACCTTTCTGTAATTGAAGAGACTGTGGATGAAATCAACCCTGAGGAGACCGTCGAGGATGAAAAATCCTTTTCCGCGTATGGCGATTTGGTGATTGAGCAACTTCATCCTCTTGAAGAAGGTATTCCGGAGGTTGTCCCTGATTCAGAGGAAGAGGATGAGCCCGCTGAGCCCTCTCCAGTGTCAAGCTTTGTGTGCGCAAGAAAGCACACTTGTAACACCATCTTAAAGCTTATGTTCCCGGGCTGGGATACACCCAAGTAGGGATAAACCGTACTCTCTCTTCTCTACTTTAAGCACACTTTAAATTATGTTTACCTTCTCTAGAGCATGCTATGATGATGGTTAGTATTCTGCCTTACCATGATGGCATTTGGCTATGATGTGCTCAAGTATTCTACCTTACTGTTTTTCGCTGCCATTACCTTCTGTGTGGGCTATGTGTGTGTCCAAATCTAATTCCTAAATAACCCTGAGCATGCTATGATGACACTTGGTTATATCCCTTACTTTGTGTGTGCCCTGGCCTGTGTTTGTGCTATGTGTGTGTGCATAAGTAGGGCTGGAGTGTGTCTGAGCATGCTATGATGTGGTTGGTCAGTTGAACTGCAATGATGAGTAACAAGTAATCCATACATTACTTTGTTGGAATACATTAAACATGTGTGGTTGCTGTTTGTTCAAAAAGCCAAAAATCAAAAACCCAAAATTCAAAAACCCAAAAACAATGTACAACCACAATGATACAAAGTCTTTTGTTAGGTGTTAGTTCAATCTTGAAGAATGATCTCCTCATCTTCTTCAAGAATGAACTGACCCAGTAGGACTTCATGTGTTTCAACCACAGGTACAGCTGGCCCATTTTGTTCCCCAAGTACTGCCATACTCCTCTCATACAAACCCTCTTCTAGTTGTAGTACATATGGAAGTGTCCCATTTCTGTGCATAGCATCCTTTCCCATGTGTGGCACTTTGTAGTTATTGCCCCCTTCAACCTTCATCACCTCTTGCATAACATGTTGATAACTCAGCTACACTTTGTTTAGTGTGTGGGCTGAGAACTGATTGTATGCTTCCTGGACTGCATTCATTAATTCAGTTACATTGCTTGGAGCTGATTGTTCCTTCAATGACTGTATGGCCTTGAAAAACCTAAATCTAGAATGTTGAGGTCTGGAGAACTAGGGGGCTGATTAGTTAGGGTAATCTGGAAACCATTTGTTGTACTTGCCATGACAAACTCTAGGTCATTTCCAAGAATATGTGGCCTTGCATTATCTTGTTGGATAACAATTTTCTTACTTAAGAAGTTTGGCCACTTCTCTTGAATGGCAGGTATGACTGTGTGTATCAGCATGTCCTTGAACACTTGTTTAGTGACACTTGATATCGGTTTGGTTTCCAGTGAACCTGCTTCCCTGTTCTTGCTTTTTCTCTTAGCCTCAACAGACTCCACAAAGGGGAAAATCCCTACCTTACCATCCCAAAGGACTTCACCTTCATCAGAAATTATAGGTCTTCCTACGACCCCTAAAAACATGATTTTTGTGATGAATCTCTTAGATTGACAGCTTCGGTATGGCTCTTCCTCATCGAGGGTCAAATAAAAGCGTTGTGATGTTTTTGTCATAAAAAACCATTTCTCATCAATGTGCAAGACATTTTTAAAACTCTTGAAGGTTGGGTTTAAAGGGATACTGGATTCTTCTAACTGCTGCAGACAAAACATCATCCTTTGCCTCTTATTTGCATCAGTAAGTGTGGGCTT